TATATGCAAGTTGGAAGTTTTTGGAATGTGTTATGGGAACCTGTCCCATCGCAGTCTTTGGTGCCGGTACTCTCGCCACTAGCCTGAATCTTCTTGGTCAGCCATTGAGAACATCTCACCTAAAATGCCACCAATGAAAATGATTTACCTTTAAGCCTGCCAGTGAGCGCATTATTTCGACAACCCACAAGTACATGACCAGGCATCTAATAGTTACTGAGATCCATGAAATTTCAGCTAGGTCATTCTCATTACCCCCATTATTTGCTTGTATTTATTACTTGTCGGGAGGTCCATACAGTATTTGTAGAGGCCTTTGTCTTCTGATCTGGGAATTCGACTGGTCCAGATTGCGGTCCAGATTCGGTAAAGAACGACTTCTACCGCCAACTGACCCAGCTCCTTCGCCACAGAAGAAGCACGGACACTGTTGTGCTGGCGGGGGATATGAACGCACAAGTTGGAAAGTTGTCCACTGATGAACTGCATCTGAGCGGTCAACACGGTGTAGGCTCCCGTAATGATAACGGTGAGCGGTTACTTCATTTGTGTGAAGATGCTCGCTTATTTCTTGCGAGCACTAATTTCCGACACAGCACCCGCCGAAGGGTGACTTGGCGCCCACCAACCTCGAACCAGCCTTGCACGCAGATCGATCACATTGCGATAAGTTACCGCTGGAGAGGCTGCATCCAGAATTGTCGCTCGATTTGGAGCACATGTGTGGACACCGATCATGCACTTGTATGTGCTGACATGCGGATGCGTTTTGGCGGACGCCCACGACGACGCTGTGAGCGTATTGACACCAGCCAACTGACAAAACCAGCTGTTCTGAATGCGTATCGAAGTACGCTAACATGCGAGTTGAGCAAGCGCTCACAGGAGACAATTAATGGTCACTGGTCACATGTTCGCCAGACTTTACTAGCAGCAGGCAAATCCTCATGTGGTATGTCTAATAGACAACATGGACATTGGGTCTCTTCGCAGTCTTTGGAACTTATAGATGCTCGCCGGCAAATCCCGGCTGGAAGCGAGCACAATGAAACTCGCAAAGAGCTCCGGGCAAAACTCCGCGCTAGCCTGAAGAGAGACCGCGAATCTTGGTGGTCTCATCGTGCGTCAGAGATGGAAGTGGCCACTGTCCTTGGCAACCATCGTAAGTTATTCCGTCTGATACGGGAAACGGGCAGCAGGAGACCTGGTGTTAGTGAAACTATACGTGACGAGAGTGGACAGCCTATCCACAATTTGTCAAAACGTTTGGAGCGTTGGGCTGAGCATTTTGAAAAGCAATTTAATCGGCAAGAATTGTTCGATTCGCCGGTCACTGATCGCCCCGCTCCGTGGGCTGTCCCTTTGGATCCACCCTCTCGCTCAGAAGTCGAACGTGAGATCGGACTGTTGAAGTTGAACAAAGCCGCGGGACCAGATGATCTTCCTCCAGCCCTCTTCAAATTTGGAGGCTCTGCTCTTGTTGATGCTTTGCATGAATTACTAGTGAAACTGTGGGAGCAGGAAACTGTCCCAACCGACTGGAGCCGCTCCGTTATTGTTCCCATCTTCAAAGGCGGCTCGCGCTCGGAATGCGGCAACCATAGAGGAATCAGTCTGATCTCCATCGCCTCCAAATTACTCGCGTCCATAATTCTCCACAGACTGACTGGCGCTCGTGAAAGCCAGATTCGTGAGGAGCAAGCCGGGTTTCGTCGGGGTCGTGGCTGCATCGACCACATCTTCACCTTGCGTCAGTTGTTGTAGCACCGTCACACATATTGGCGGCCCACCGTAGTCGTGTTCCTCGACATCAAAGGTGCCTTCGATTCGGTTGATCGATGTGCCCTTTGGAATTGTCTACTCAGGAAAGGTGTGCCCGAGAAATACGTAAATATTATCCAAGCATTATATGCGCGTAGCACGGGCAGAGTAAGGGCTTACAGCAGGCTGCCGCCACCCTTCAATATCTCCAGCGGTGTGAGACAAGGATGCCCGCTGTCACCTTTCCTATTCAACTTCGCTATTGACGAAGTCATGGAGATTGCATTTACAGGACATGACTTGGAAGGTGTGGAGCTACTCCCAGGAGAACGACTTCTTGACTTAGAGTATGCAGACGACATTGCCCTCATCTGTGACAGCTCCCAGACGTGTCAATCCGCGCTGGACAGATTAGCACTGGCTGTCAGTCGCTTCGGGCTTTGCTTTGCACCACTGAAGTGCAAAGCGTTCCTCCAGGATTGGCAGGGTTCGCCCCCTGTGCTGACCCTTGGTGGGGATCAGCTAGAAGTCGTTCAGAAATTCAATTACCTGGGAAGTTGTATCAGCGCCCTTGGGATCGAAGACGAGATCACGAACCGCATAGCGAAAGCTCGAAGTGCTTTTGCTAACCTTCGCCACCTATGGCGACGGCGCGACATTACTCTCGCCCTGAAGGGTAGAGTGTACAATGCAGCGGTACGTTCGACCTTACTGTACGGTTGCGAAACCTGGCCCCTAAGATCGGCGGACATGAAGAGGCTACTTACGTTCGACCATCGGTGCCTGCGCAGTTTGGCTCACATCTGGTGGGAACACCGCGTGAGTAACGAGCGTGTTCGACGCCTTGTTTACGGCCTAGGAAAAGGTACTGAACCGCTCAGCACCTTGATTTCACTCACCAGGCTCCGATGGCTGGGCCACGTGTTGCGCATGCCAGCCCACCGACTCCCTCGACGTGCGTTGTTTGCTCACCGGGGATGTGGGTGGAAGAAGAGGAGAGGTGGCCAAGCGATTACTTGGTCCAGAGGAATGAAGGCCCTCACTTCGGAGCTGGCCTCAGTTGGAGCTTCACGGCTCCCTGGTTGGGGTCCAAAAGACGGTGAACACGTTTGGCTGGATACACTTGCTGATATGGCAAGGAGCCGACCTCAGTGACGTTCCTGCTGTGAGTTTCTTTGTCCCTCCCCATCCCTTTAGCCTCCCCCTCCATCTACGATCTTAGGGTAAAACGTAATTAAATTTTTGGTTTTGCCTAGTATCCGGCTAGTAGCTTACCGGAACGATGCGTATCCGTTGCTGGTAGCTCAGCTGGCATTCAACTGTCGTATTTATTTTTCCTTTATGTATTGTATGTATGTATGTATTTCCTTTATGTATTGCGGTACAATAGCGGAGGTGTTTTACCATCTCTAGCTGAGCTGTATAATGATGATGATGATGATTTTGATGACTCAGCTTACACAAGGCATGGGGAGTGGTAGTAGGATTTCAGAGGAAAATCCACATTTCGGATGAGATCCTTACTTCGTTTGCCTGATGGATGATGATGAATGAGATTGCGCAACAACAGTCGGTTATCCGTACGGACAGCGGAAACCACAATACCGACTGAATAACATGCAGTGAGGGATCAAGATCAATTAACGAATCATGACGGATCCAATTACTAAGATCAACAAAGTGATGGTAAAATGAAGAGGACGGAAAAGGAACAGTCGACAATATGTAGTCTAAAATTCGCAGAGGCAAAATACTAGCAATCTACAATATATTTGACTGCAACAACCGAGACATTCAAACTGGTGGTCTATCCAGGGGACCCAGCCTAGGAACACTAAATGCGCTAACTTAAAGTTTTCGTTCGTTGCGCTATGTTATAATGCATATATATATATATATATATATATATATATATATATATATATATATATATACATATATATATATATAGTTGATGTTGCGTACGTCATGCCTCTTTACCGTATTTGGGCAACACCGACTCACACTTAAACTAGATCTTCCTACTCTAGGTAAGAAACATTCCAGCTTATTTGAATTGCTCAGTTCTGTCATTTTGCTACATATTCCGTGTAAATTTTGCTTGTTGGTTGTTTGATATCCTTGGTGCGACTGCACTTGATGTGAATGTTGTCAAGGTGCCTATCTGTCTAACACCATCCACCTCGATTACTGTACCCAGGAAACTGTAAATCGTGGCTGGGGGGACGGGGTGCACGGGTTTCGTGGCCGTGCTAGGCTCAAAGAGTGGTTCTATCCACATATATATATATATATATATATATATATATATATAGATGCGGGAGAGCCTATGGTGCGATGGGACTTGTGGTGGTTATATCCTGACAGATGGTCGACCCACTGCTGCAAATGTTAGCAGTGGGCTCATGTCCTCTCAAGCGGGTCTGATATTTTCTACCCTGCTGTCTCCGTAGCTGTTTTGTAGCACAAGAACCCTCGACCTTTCCTTTGTTTTTGATGAAGAGGATACTGTGGCTGTTTTCCATACCATGACTTTTAACCTGCTGGGTATGATTGGCTATAGGTGCACTTAGTAAGTGCAACACAGCATATCTTATTGGAGCAAGATTGTGCGAAAACCATCGTACTACCTCGATGCCTAATTATGTTTCTCTACATAACCACAAATGTCTGCTTATCTACACTGCGACGTGTCCGAGGTGACTCGCCACTAAATACAGTCACTGACCTTGCTTACTCGGACAATCTTATCAAATCCTTAAATGTCAAACACATTTACGAACACAGGCAACACACCTACCGACATACCTACATTTATGGATCCACATATATGAAAATCCCATTAAGTTACTGCACATTTCTTGATCAGTTGTACTATTACTATGATCAGGCCTTTTATAACATGCCTCACGTAGCCGATAATTGAAAAAATTATTTATTTGTTTGCGGTCGTCTAATCTGTTAGCTAGTTTACTGTGACTTTTATAGTGCAAGATAATTTGTTGTGTTAGGCTACAAAAGACCACGAGGGTGCCTGGCTAACACCACCTTTTTTCTTTCAAACGGCTTGCTCTCTGTAACCGGGCTTTTAGTCCCTGTTAGCAAACTTTTTAAAGAAAAGCCCGATTTTCCGGTTTCCATCCTCTTCATGCCACTTTGCCTTGTGATCAGGCTTCCAGGTTGTTGTTCCCTGATATGGTAGACTGCCATGTATCGATGCCTTTCGTCTTTTCTTTCAGGTCGTAATGGAATTCTGGCACACCATCGGTGGATCTTCCGATGAACTCAATGAGATCGACTGATGGTGTCCCTCGAACGCATGGTTGTTTGAGGAAGTCGGATGGGTCACTCTTCACACGTGCGCCACTTAGGCGATTACTGAGACGTCTCCATGGGGACGAGCGACATTTCAGTCTCACACATGGCTTTTCCCTGAATTCACTGCCAAACAATTACCTGTCCTTCATCCTCTTCTGTATTTTGATGCTTTTCATACCCTACTTATGTTTTGAGTCAACTCCAATTTACGGATTTTGGCAATCCCCTTTCATTTCCGGTTGTGCGAGGGGGACCATCTGATCTATCCTTCCAACATTCTAGTCCGCTAATGCCCAACTACACTAGACTTCCATTATCCCCTTGCTTTGTAAGCCCTCCCCAAATGCTTATCTGACACAAGCAGCGTACACTGGTAATATCTATCTCTAGAGCATCCTTTCTCAGAGTGTGGTTCGCGGACCCCTTGGGAGTCCGAGGAATACTTGCAATGGGTCCGCGGGATGAACGTTTGCAGGAAATTCAGTTCTAATCTCATTTTCTCAAATCCTAGTCCTGTGGTTAACAATATTTCATAGATCCGCTGTGCCAGCTTCCACTAACAACGGGTCAACGGCCCGAAAAACTTGTGTAGCGTGCCTATAGAGCATACTACTTTCTTAGTCGTATAGAGGAACCAAATTGAAGTACGAGCTTTTAGCATACTAGCGAGGGAATTTTCACTATGGTGCTACATCTACTTGGGAGTGTTGTTCCAACTACGACTGGAAACGGTTCATACGTTATTGACAAATTGCGTGACAGCAGTCATGTTATTGGAAGTCCTTCCTTTTGGGGCCAGCCCTATGCTCTGTGACATCCGTAACTTGCATCGCAGTGGAGGACAATACGCGCTACATGGCATTTCGCTTGTTCATCATGGCGGTCCGCTGCTGCCTGCATGGCTCAGTGGCAAATGCTGCTGTCTGGCGATTCAGGCCGCACTGGCACACAAACTACGCGAAGGCCAATTAGGAGAGAAGAGAAACTTAGTCATCGTCTTTGACTGAGGCTTACAATCGAGCGAAAGGCTTGTATTATCGTCCGATGCTTGCACAATTCGGGTTACATTATCATGTGTGCAATGTGGTCTGAACATTGTCCAGTCGCCTTACTCCCCATTCCTTGCCAGCAAATGGCTGGTTTTCTCCCTAGAAGACAGCGTCCAATTTGGTTTACAAAATATCCATCTTAAAGTGAAAATGGTATCTATATAGCTCGTTTGATTGATCCTTATATTCTGTAGTTCGAAAACTTTTGGAATAAAGCTGATCATTCAACTATTGAAACAAATCCTCTCCTAGTTCGGGACTTTATATTATCATGCTTCAAGCTATGAGACTAAATGTGGCTGCCAACCGGATATTTAAAGCATGGTGTGATGTCTATATGCTACATGAGCAGCCAACTCTCTCGACTGCGGACTGGAACATCCCATGCAACGGATGAAGAAAGAATGGTATCAGCAGTACGCTGGTACACAGTACCGACGCTTCACTGTCGCGCAACTACCACCGGTCGCATGTGGGCTAAGGATACTGCGAGGGTCACCCTTTCCCTACACAGGCTCAATCCGGCGCCGCAAGATTACGAGACAAGCTCATTACCTGTAAGCTTGGGGCCGGCTTGCATACGGAAGGAGTGGATGGGCAATGTCCGCATGAACGTGATCGACATTACAGCTGTTTTAAGCAATTCCCATGACGTAACGAGTCCATCGAGTTCCTTTGGTGCCAAATATGTTTGTGCCCATGTATTAACACCTACTGCGATTTTGCCCTATGAGACGTTGTGAGATTAGTTCGCAGATATACACAATTTGGGATCATCGTGCAGTGCGTCGTGATCCTTCTGCCGCACTGATCATACAATGTAATAAGAGAAGCGTCCAAATTCGTTGTTCCTATTGCGGTTTGTGGTGGTCCGCGTTGAACGCTCAAGACGATTTTCGTTCTCCATAGTTGTAGCCTGCGTTCCCGTTTTAACCTCGGTGGTGCGCTTGTGAGAGACTACTTACTACGGATTTGACGTGGTATTGGCCGCCGTATTATTGCTCCTTCAAATTTGGTGGATCTCACCGGAGCACCGCGAAATGCAGTCCAAATTCTGGGCTTCGTGTAGTGTGCGCTTTTTTGGTTTCGCTCGGAAGTCTTGCGGTTCTCCTGTGCACACAATCAAAACGAGTAGTGACATCACCATATGCTAGCAAGGGATACCAACACTTTGCAGCCAAGCAACCGTCACCAGTTGTGCGTAGTCTGGGGATACTGCTAACTCACCCGCACCTACGCAGATTCGAACCGACGACCACCAAGTTACAAAGTTGTCTTATCCTTTCAAACACCCGCCGACAAGATTGTCTGCATTTTAATGGACAGCAGAAACTGCTAATATGTACATTACTCGTCAGTAGTTCACAACCAAAACACCAGTGTAATTCGTTAAGTAATAGTATTCATTGCAAAAACTCCAACCGCAGTAGTAAATGTGTAAGCCTTTCTTCGCTGTGGAACTCTGGATTAACAATGGAGCTATGCTGGAAAGTCCTCAATTGAGTATTTGATGTGTTCAAATGCTTGAGCTCCTTAAGTTTACCGTCTGATGGTTCATGAGTGCCTCGACAAGAAGTGGGATACAGATTGATTATTTTAAGAAAACGCTAACATCCAACTGCACACGAAGTCAACTGCATCCATCTCGCTTTGAAATTTCTTATAAAATTATGTTCCCCATAAATCTCTCAAGATGGTCCTTAACCGTTTTGGGTTACATCCAACGAGCGCGAAGGAACCTAAACGCGGTCTTTCATCGAGCAACACATCCCAAATAAACCGTTTGAATGTCACTCTGTGTACTCATCTGTTATACTATCGGGTGCTTTGGGGTTGACTACTTAACACAATGCACACATTTTCAAGTGGCGTTTGCTTCTGTTGGATGAAATTTCAACGTGTTAAGGACCATCTTGAGCTACCCAATGAAGAACATGATTACCTTCAAGAGGAATTTGTAAGCGCCATGGATGCAATTGACTTTGAAAAGGTGTAGTTGTGAGTTACGAGGCGGTACGAAACTGGCCCTGTAAACTGCGCGGATGATACTGCCTAGTCTAGTAACGCATCAGCTTGGCTGACTACGCAGGATCCATTAACCTCAGATCGTATGATCTAATGTAAGAGGGTCTCAGTATTTGGAATGCAGATAGAAGTTCATTTGACAATGCTATCTCTCGACTCTGGTTTCTCGATTGATCATCTTTTCTGCCATCAAGGCACTGAACTATTTAGTACACTCGTCCGAAATCTGCCATACTCCTCAAGGTTATGATGTTTCAGGATTTCCAATCATGCCGGATAGCTTGTTTGAACTGCACTAAACAGGAATCGCCTCGGCGTCTCCACCTATTTCTTTATCCATTAAAGTCTATCGTCCCGTCTGGAGTGGATATCACTCCCATTCAGCTGAATTACTGAAACAATATCAGTCCGATTAAATCGATTCTTGCACCTCTTCATCAATAGTTTTGTTTGACTACCGCTTTTTAGTTGCTGTGGCATCTGCACGAGCCGAGATCACATGCTTCCTATTGGTTGGACGCACCGGCGTTAGTACATGCTGACTTGACGCCAAACTAACCATTGATTGAACCCAGTTGAATTGTGCGACGCGTTGTGTTTGGGGTTAGACATAATGTCTTTTATATACTGCCGCAACTGACGTGTTATGTTGTCTTGTACTACTGTAGCAAGAAAGAAGCGGTCAGAAAGCACACTCTTTATTGCACGCAACCACGGTTTTCACAAGCTGCGTGCACGCGCACATTTATCCATCATGTTTCCGTCCCACAACACAACATACATAGAGAATCACAAAATGTCACGTTCGTGCGTCGTTGGTCTGCATCTTTGGGGCCCTGACTGTCTGTCTGACCTCGCTTTGCTTCTGTAGCTCGCAGTCTCTTCAGCCTGGAGTTGTTCTCAAGCTCTTACTTTGCTTGGTCTCGGTTGCGTTCTTCTATTTGTGGTGACTCCTTAATGTACCGACAAATGTGTTTCTGATTTATTGATAACAACAATAATAAGGGTATATTTCTCTTTGCGTAAGAAGCTGCGTCCATATTTGGCACAGATCAAATATGTACAAGTAGTACCATGCGCTTGCATGTGCAGTATGAATTTATTGTGCATAAAAAACAAAGGTATAGCTCTCCTCGATGCGAGGTACAGTCCAACTGGATACTACCATTCTCGGTGTACGGCAAAATCGCAAGAAGGAGATATTATCTTTTTCGCATTTTCCAAAGCAGTCCTCAAGCTTTTCGGTGCATAAGGCTAATTGCTCGGGTACATCTTTCGGGAAGATTGTGACGTTTTGAAAGATAATAAGTGTAGATAAATACAACGTAAAGTGAAGTAATCCGGTCATTACTGGGACGGCCTCCTAGGGATCTGCTTCCATGCGGGTTATTCTCTCGCTGGATTTCACTCGCACCTCCATGCCCCATCTGGACGTATGCCGGTGTTGCTTTTAAATTAGGTAAGCCATCACTTAGGCAACTCATCTTTAGGGTTGTTTTTCTGTGTATATGGTGTGAACAGTCACGTCACCTAGTTCGTATCATCAGCTGCTTTTTTGAGTAATGCACCATTTTCTCGCCAAAGAACCAATGGCAATGAGCCTTGCATAGGTATAATTATTAAAGTTTGAAGCTTAAAAGCGCCAACTCAGGAGATCGACCAGATCGTGGTCAACAGTGAAGTAAAGCGTATAAAATATGTGCGCAAGAAAGACCGACTAAATTGTACAAGGAAGGTGATGAAAACTTATGACTACTCGAAGTATCGATATGCTAGAGTTCTGAAAATAATTTTCAGATTCATCATCATTTGCTTACGTTTGAAAAGTACAGGAATTGATAGCGCTGAGCAATGAGATTTGTTCTCTGTTCTTGGACTGTCGCCTCCGGGGCGGAAAAAATAATGTTTAA